TTTGGTTACGTTACGTTACTCTACGCAACGTCACGTTACTCTATGTTACGTTACGTTATGTTGGGTTACGTTACGTTACATTACGTTACCTTAGGTTAGTTCAGCGGTCATAATGTTTTAGGAACACATTTACCTATCAATCTACAACAGGTAAACTCCCAAACAACATCTTGAGCCTTTACAGTCACCTTAGACAAAGACCATAACCAACAATTAACTCAACACAAACCCACAAAAATAAATATAAATAAATAAAAACATAAAAATCAAATCCCTCAACAAAAACCAAAACAAAATACTAATCCCTCCTATGCATTACTCCATAACATTTTTTTTTAGTATTTATTTTTTCAGACTTTTTATAATCCATTTCCTCTCACAGGGAGGTTGGGTTCAAGAGGAACATGTGATTCTACCCCAACACGGCCTCTACATTCTACCTCTCGTTACCTCTACATGTAATTCTACCCCAACACGGCCTCCACATTCTACCTCTCGTTACCTCTACATGTGATTCTACCCCAATACGGCCTCCACATTCTACCTCTCGTTACCTCTACATGTGATTCTACCCCAATACGGCCTCCACATTCTACCTCTCGTTACCTCTACATGTGATTCTACCCCAATACGGCCTCCACATTCTACCTCTCGTTACCTCTACATGTGATTCTACCCCAATACGGCCTCTACATTCTACCTCTCGTTACCTCTACATAGACCTCCCCATGTCCGGTAGTTTGTATGTAACGTCACTTGATAATTCGCAGTAAAACCAAAACGTGAGACTTTGAGACGTTGTTTATTTTGAGAGATAAGAAGATTTGTTTTACGTTTAAGAAGTGAGAGACAGAGTGAGACAATAGGTAGATAGAAAGTGACAGACAGAAGTAGACATATAATAAGAGACGGTCAGAAACAGAGAGAGACAGAAGAAAAGAGACAGAGAGATATAGATACTGAGAGAAACAGAGATTTAAAGAGAAAACAACAGAGATAGAGAAAGAAAAAGAACGAGATAAAGATACAGAGAGAAAGAGAACGAGAGAGAGAGAGAGAGAGAGAGAGAGAGAGAGAGAGAGAGAGAGAGAGAGAGAGAGAGAGAGAGAGAGAGAGAGAGAGAGAGAGAGAGAGAGAGAGAGAGAGAAAGAGAAGAGAAAGATAGAAACATACTGAAAGAACCACAAAGACACAAAGAGGCTTTCAGAGACTGGGTGAGAAATACAGGAAGAGATAAAATAAATTATGAAGGTACAGATACACGCCTCTGTAAAACTCTTTTGAATTTTTTAAGCCATTTTTATCCGCATAGAGAGAAAATATTACTTTTTTTTTCAGAATAAAGTTGGCATTGTGTTACCGATGCTATTTGACGTAATGGGATCCTCTCTCTCTCTCTCTCTCTCTCTCTCTCTCTCTCTCTCTCTCTCTCTCTCTCTCTCTCTCTTGTATATTTGAACAACAAGCACCAAATACAATGTTTACAGTATATGAACCTTACTTCCGCCCACTGCACCTCAAAACCAATATGTGGAGAGGACTTAGCAATTTCCGGATCAATAACCTTACCTAACTTAACCAACCCTATCCTAACCTAACCTGGCCTAACCTAACCTAACTTTGCCAAACTCAACCTAACCTAACCTAACCGATCGATAATTCAACTTTAGTCAGGAGGTCGTGGAGTGAGAGGGCCGGGGGTGCAGTGAGGAGGCCGTGCAGTGAGGAGGCCGTGGAGTGAGAGGGCCGGGGGTGCAGTGAGGAGGCCGTGGAGTGAGAGGGCTGGGGTGCAGGAGGAGACCGTGGAGTGAGAGGCCGGGGGTTGCAGTGAGGGCCGTTGAGTGAGAAGGGGCCGGGGGTGCAGTGAGGAGACCGTGGAGTGAGAGGGCCGGGGGTGCAGTGAGGAGACCGTGGAGTGAGAGGGCCGGGGGTGCAGTGAGGAGACCGTGGAGTGAGGAGGCCGTGGAGTGAGAGGGCCGGGGGTGCAGTGAGGAGACCGTGGAGTGAGAGGGGCCAGGGGTGCAGTGAGGAGACCGTGGAGTGAGTGACAGACGAAGGAGAATTTTCTGTTGGTTACTCATTCAGGAGAAGCGTCCATAGATCTAACTAACGCATCTATAAACATATATTAGCAAGCGGCTCTGTCTCGTATATTTACTATAAATCAGAGAGGACGAATACATTGAGGGAAAATATATATTGGCGTAATGAAATACAAACAGCCAGGAATATATGTCATGCTTAGTGAAAGATGTGACTCTTGTAACTCCTCGGGGTCAAGATTCTCCAAAACACGTAGGTTATT